AGGAGAGTAAGCCTGGGGGCTTCCAGAGGGAGGTGAGCTGACCGCCCGGAGGGCCGGCCTCACAGGCGGGCTGCCCCTCGCAGAGGCCCTGCCTGGGCCGAGGGGCGAGTCTGCAGCACCTGGGCCTCGGAGGTCGGCTCCGGTCGGGAGCTCATCCTCCCTCCTTTGCTAGGTGAACGGGACCCCTCGGAGCTGCGGGCCCAGCGGGGGGCCTGGGGGACCCCTCGGAGCTGCGGGCACACCGGGGGGCCTGGGGGGACCCCTCGGAGCTGCGGGCCCAGCGGGGGGCCTGGGGGGACCCCTCGGAGCTGCGGGCCCAGCGGGGGGCCTGGGGACCCCTCGGAGCTGCGGGCCCAGCGGGGGCCTGGGGGACCCCTCGGAGCTGCGGGCCCAGCGGGGGGCCTGGGGGACCCCTCGGAGCTGCGGGCCCAGCGGGGGGCCTGGGGGGACCCCTCGGAGCTGCGGGCACACCGGGGGGCCTGGGGGGACCCCTCGGAGCTGCGGGCACAGCGGGGGGCCTGGGGGACCCTCGGAGCTGCGGGCCCAGCGGGGGGCCTGGGGGACCCCTCGGAAGCTGCGGGCACACCGGGGGGCCTGGGGGACCCCTCGGAGCTGCGGGCCCAGCGGGGGGCCTGGGGGGACCCCTCGGAGCTGCGGGCCCAGCGGGGGGCCTGGGGGGACCCCTCGGAGCTGCGGGCCCAGCGGGGGGCCTGGGGGGACCCCTCGGAGCTGCGGGCCCAGCGGGGGGCCTGGGGGACCCCTCGGAGCTGCGGGCCCAGCGGGGGCCTGGGGGACCCCTCGGAGCTGCGGGCCCAGCGGGGGGCCTGGGGGACCCCTCGGAGCTGCGGGCACACCGGGGGGCCTGGGGGACCCCTCGGAGCTGCGGGCCCAGCGGGGGGCCTGGGGGACCCCTCGGAGCTGCGGGCCCAGCGGGGGGCCTGGGGGACCCCTCGGAGCTGCGGGCCCAGCGGGGGGCCTGGTGGGACCCCTCGGAGCTGTGGGCACACCGGGGGGCCTGGGGGGACCCCTCGGAGCTGCGGCACACCGGGGGGCCTGGGGGACCCCTCGGAGCTGCGGGCCCAGCGGGGGGCCTGGGGGGACCCCTCGGAGCTGCGGGCCCAGCGGGGGGCCTGGGGGGACCCCTCGGAGCTGCGGGCACAGCGGGGGGCCTGGGGGACCCCTCGGAGCTGCGGGCCCAGCGGGGGGCCTGGGGGACCCCTCGGAGCTGCGGCACACCGGGGGCCTGAGGGGACCCCTCGGAGCTGCGGCACACCGGGGGGCCTGGGGAGGTTTGGGGATAGCCGGAGGTGGGGGTGGTGAGGTGGGGGTGGCCGGAGGTGGGGCCTCTGTGGTCGTGCTGTGCGGTGGGAATGATCTGTCCTGATCCCTGTCCAGGAGGCGCCGCCCTGCAGGGCCCCACCCGTGATGGCTTCCGGAGTCCCCTCGGAAGGGCCAGCTGTCGGCCACAGCCGGGAGGAGGGCCACCAGGAGGAGGAGCCGCCCGAGGAGGAGACAGAGACGGAGGAGGAGAGGGTCACCACAGAGTCGGAGGAGGACGCCGCGCTGGATGCTGGTGAGCAGGCGGGCGGCCTCCTCGCAGCCTGGGGGCTCAGGGTCCCTCCTGGGGCCTTGGTTTCCTGCTGTGCAGGAGGCGGGTCTTCCGTCTGCCGCTGGGAGGGAGGGAGAGGGAGAGGGAATCCTGGACCGGCTGCCTCCTGCACGCCCCGCACTGGGGATGGAGCCTGCAGGCCGGGCCTGGGCCTGAGCGGGGATCGAACAGCGGCCTCCTGGCTCCTGGGTCCATGCTGAGCCGGGCCGGCCGGGCCCGCACTGGGCTGGGAGCGAGCCGGGGCATGGGATGTGCCCGGCTCCCGGCAGGCGTCTGCCCTGTCTGTGAGACTCCTGGCTGCTCTCACACCCCTTCCCTGCAAATGCCCCATAGAGACAGCAGTTTGGGCCCTGGCCGGTGTGGCTCAGTGGGCAGAGTGCCGGCCTGCGGACCGAAGGGCCCGGGGTTCGATTCCACGGGTGGTTGGTCTGGGTCCTGGGCAGGGCGCTTGCAGGGTGCGTGCAGGAGGCAAACAATTGATGTGTCTCTCTCACATCAGTGTTCTCTCTGTCTCCCTCTCCCTTCCACTCTCTCTGGAAATCACGGGGGAATGTGCTTGGGTGAGGATTTAATCGAGAGAGAGAGAGAGAGAGAGAGAGAGAGAGAGAGAGAGCGAGCTCTCGCAGGGTGGGCTGGTATGAGTGAGGGGTGGGCCGGCCGCCCCGCCCCGCCCGGGAGCTGGGAGGGCGGCTGGGGGGTCCAGCCCGGCTGCAGGCACCCGCCCTCCGCCCGCCCGCCCGCCTGCTGCAGAGCTGCCCAGCCAGGAGATCCTGGAGGCCCACCACAGCCCGCCCTGGGAGGAGGGGCTGGTGTGCAGGATCCGCGCCATGTTGCCCGTGCAGAGGAGCCTCATGCTGGAGGCCACGCGCCAGCGCCTGCAGGAGCAGAACCAGGTGCCCGCCCCGCCCGCCGCCCAGGCCTCACCGGGCACCCGCCCGGGGCTCTGACCACGCGCATGTGTGTGTGTCTCTGTGTGTGAGTGTGTGTGTGAGTGTGAATGTGTGAGTGTGTGTGAGTGTGAATGTGTGTGTGTGAGTGTGTGTGAGTGTGTGTAGGGGTATGTGTGTGAGTGTGAATGTGTGAGTGTGTGTGAGTGTGAATGTGTGTGTGTGAGTGTGTGTGAGTGTGTGTGAGTGTGTGTGAGTGTGTGTAGGGGTGTGTGTGTGAATGTGTGTGTAGGGGTGTGTGTGAGTGTGAATGTGTGTGTGAGTGTGTGTATGTGTGTGAATGTGTGAGTGTGTGTGTAGGAGTGTGTGTGTGTGTAGGAGTGTGTGTGTGTGTGAGTGTGAATGTGTGTGTGTGTGAGTGTGTGTGTGTGTGTGTAGGGGTGTGTGTGAATGTGTGTGAGAGTGTGTGTATGTGTGAGTGTGTGTGAGTGTGTGTGTGAGTGTGTGTGTGTGTGTGTGTGTGTCAGATTCTCCAGGGTCGGGCTGACGGCAGGACAGGGGCAATCACGGCAGAGGGGTCGTGTGCACTCAGTCACCCAGGGAGGCGGGCTCTGCGGGCCTCGGGGCGGCACGGGGGGGCGGGGAGGGGGGGGGAGCTGAGCGGAGGTGGGGTCACAGACATGCAGATGGGGCGGGCGGGGGGGGGGGGGGTCCAGCCCTGTCTGTCCTGGTCCTGGGTCCGGGGAGAGCTGAGCGGGGGTGGGGTCACAGACAGGCAGATGGGGCGGGCCGGGGGGGAGGGGGGGTCCAGCCCTGTCTGTCCTGGTCCTGGGTCCGGGGAGAGCTGAGCGGAGGTGGGGTCACAGACATGCAGATGGGGCGGGCCGGGGAGGGGTCCAGTCCTGTCTGTCCTGGTCCTGGGTCCGGGCGGAGCAGGAGCGAGCGGCCGGGAGCCCCAGAGCCTGCGGGGCCTGCGGGGCCTGTCCGCCCGCCGGGCCGGCCGCTGAGCCCGCGCCCCGCCGCAGGGCAGCGGGAAGGCGGCGGCGGCGGCCGGCCCGGAGCTGCTGGCGTTCCTGAGCCTGGACCTGGAGCCGCCGCTGGGGAAGGTCAGTGCGCAGACGGCGGGGGCGGCGGAGGCTCTGCTGCTGCCACGGCCGCGGGACCGCAGCGCAGGGCCCAGGCCCCGGGGCGGGGCTCGGGGACCAGACTCCTGCCCGGCCGGCGCGCCCTCTGACCCGAGGTGTGACGGCAGCCGTGCAGCGGGGCATGGGCGGCGGGAAGAGAAAATAAGTGAATCCCAGGCGGTTCCGAGGCGGCCGGGCCGGGGAGCGGGGCTGGTGGAGTCCTGGCTCCGCCCGCGCCGCCTGAGGGGAGCGAAGGGCAGTCTGGTGCGGCCGGGACACAGACGGCAGCGGGCGGGGCCTGGGGAGCAGTGGGAGTGACAGGCAGAAGCGGGCGGGGCCTGGGGAGCAGTGGGAGGGGCGGGAAACAGTGGGCGGGGCCTGGGGAGCAGCGGGCGTGGCCTGGGGAGCAGTGGGCGTGGCCTGGGAGCAGCGGGCGGGCGGGCAGCAGTGGGCGTGGCCTGGGGAGCAGCGGGCGTGACAGGCAGCAGTGGGCGTGGCCTGGGAGCAGCGGGCGGGGCAGGGCAGCAGTGGGTGGGGCCTGGGGAGCAGTGGGTGGGCAGGGCAGCAGTGGGTGGGGCCCTGGGTTCAGGGGTGGTGGGTGGGGATAGGGTGGGGTGGGGTGGGAGTAGGGTGGGGTGGGGTGGGGGGTGGGATGGGGTGGTGTGAGGTGGGGATGGGTGGGGTGGGGTGGAGGGGTGGGGGTGGGGGGTAGGATGGTGGTGGGTGGGGTGGGGATGGGGGGGTGGGGTGGGGTGGGGGGGTGGATGGGGATGGGGGTGGGGTGGGGGGTGGGGGTGGGGGGTAGGATGGTGGTGGGTGGGTGGGAGATGGGGATGGGGTGGGGTTGGGGGTGGGGGTGGGGGGTGGGGGTGGGGTGGGGGTAGGGATCGGTGGTGGGGTGGGTTGGGTTGGGGTGGGGTGGGATGGGGATGGGGTGGGGTGGGGGGGTTGGGGTGGGGTGGGGATGGTGTGATGGGGTGGGGTGGGGATGGGGTGTGGGGGGTTGGGGGGTGGGGTGGGGGTGGGGTGGGGGTGGGTGGAGGTGTTGGGGTGGGGGTAGGATGGTTGGTGGGTGTGGGTTGGGTTGGGGATGGGGTGGGGTGGGGTGGGGTGGGGTGGGGTGGGATGGGGATGGGGTGGGGGTGGGGTGGGGGGGTGGGTTGGGGGGGTAGGATGGTGGTGGGGTGGGATGGTGATGGGTGGGCGTGGGGATGGGTGGGTGGGGGGTTGGAGGTTGGTGGTGGTGGGGTGGGGGGATGGGGTGGGGTGGGGGGTGGGGGGTAGGATGGGATGGGGATGGGGTGGGATGGGGATGGGTGGGGTGGGGTGGGGGGTGGGGTGGGGGTGGGGGGTAGGGTGGTGGTGGGGTGGGATGGGGGGTGGGGTGGGGTGGGGTGGGGGGTGGGGGGTGGGTGGGGGTGGGGGTGGGGTGGGGGGGGTGAGGGTGGGGGGTGGGGTGGGTGGGTGGGTGGTGGGGGGTTGGGGTGGTGTGGGGTGGGGTGGGGTGGGGTGGGGGGGTGGTGGGGGGGGGGTGTGGATGGGGATGGGGGTGGGGTGGTGGGGTGTGGGTGGGGGGTAGGATGGTGGTGGGGTGGGATGGGATGGTGTGGGGTGGGGTGGGGGGGTGGGGTGGGGGTTGGGGTGGGGGTTGGGGTAGGATGGTGGTGGGGTGGGATGGGGTGGGGTGGGGTTGGGGTGGGTGGGGGGGGGGGGTGGGGGTGGGGGGTAGGATGGTGGTGTGTGGTGGGGTGGGGTGGGGTGGGGTGGGGTGGGGGGTGGGGGTGTGGGGGTTAGGATGGTGGTGGGTGGGATGGTATGGGGGTGGGGTGGGGTGGGGTGGGGGGGGGTGGGGGTGGGGTGGGGGGGTGGGGTGGGGGTGGGGGGTGGGGTGGGGTGGGTTGGGTGGGGGGGTGGGGGTGGGGGGGTGGGGGGGGGTGGGGTGGTGGGGTGGGGGTGGGGGGTAGGATGGTGGTGGGGTGGGATGGGGATGGAGTGGGGTGGGGTGGGGGGGTGGGGGTGGGGGGTAGGATGGTGGTGGGGGTGGGGTGGTGGGTGGGGTGGGTGGGGTGGTGGGGGTGGGGTGGTGGGGTGGTGGTGGGGGTGGGGGGTGGGGGGTGGGGTGGGGTGGGGTGGGGGGGGTGGGGGTGGGGGGGGTGGGGTGGGGTGGGGTGGGGTGGGGGGGTGGGGTGGGGGGGTGGGATGGGATGGGGGTGGGTGGTTTGTGGGGGTGGGGGTAGGATGGTGGTGGGGTGGGATGGGGATGGGTGGATGGGGTTGGGGGGTGGGGGGGTTGGGAGGGTGGGGACAGGGGAGCAGGGTGGGCCAGCCCTCGGGGCCTGGGGGGGAGGCGGAGGCCGCAGCTGCTGCTCTCCCTCCAGAACTTCCTGTTCCACCTGTACGGGCTGCTGCTGCGGGAGCCCGGCCGCTGGGCGGTGGGGAAGCACCTGCTCAGCCTGCTCGAGATGTCCCCACCGGAGGGCCAGCCAGCGGGAGGTGCGGCCCAGCCCGCCCGGCCCGGCCCCGCCCCGGCCCCGGCCCCGCCCCCCCAGCCCCCGCACCCCCAGCCCCAGCGCTCCTGTCCCCCAGCCCCTGCCCCTACCCCCCCAGCCCCCGCCCCCCCCAGCCCCCAGCGCTCCTGTCCCCCCAGCCCCTGCCCCTACCCCCCCGCCCCCCCGCCCCCCCCAGCCCCCGCCCCCCGGCCCCCCCAGCCCCCGCCCCGCCCCGGTGGCCCGGCTGCTCCGGCCTGGGGCCCTCACTCCCTTCACACCTGGGCTGTGTCGGGGTCGCCCCTGGGTGCGGGCGCCTCAGGGTGGTGGGCGGGAGGTGGGTGCCGCCGCTCACAGCCTCCCCCCAGGGCATCGCGCTGGCCGTGGGCATCGCGGCCGCCACGCACATGGAGCTCGTGTGGGCCCTCCTGGAGCACGTGGGCCGCACCAAGTTCCTCCGGGCGGCCCCCCGGGGCTCCGCCCACCCCGGGGAAAACCGTGAGTGCAGCGCCTGCCGGCCCGGGCGGCCCCGAGGGCTGAGTGTGGGCTCCTGCCTCCTCTGCTCTCGCTGGCTGTGGGGACGGGGCCTCCATCCGGCCGGGTGCTGTCCCATCCGGCCAGTGTCCTGTCCCATCCGGCCGGGTGCTGTCCCATCCGGCCAGTGTCCTGTCCCATCCGGCCGGGTGCTGTCCCATCCGGCCAGTGTCCTGTCCCATCCGGCCAGTGTCCTGTCCCATCCGGCCAGTGTCCTGTCCCATCCGGCCGGGTGTGTCCGTGGGGCCGGCCCCGCCCTGGAGCCTGGGGGAGGCCTGCCCCCTGGGATGTGTGGGTGGCTCTCAGCGGGAGGGCAGGGGAGGGGCCCGGCCGGGACACCACGGGGGCCTGAGCACGGCGACGCCCCCCTCCCGCCCGCAGAGCCCGCACCCCGACCTGCACTGGAGGTGGGTGGGCAGCACCTGCCTGCTGTGCTACGGGCAGATGGCCCTGCGGGCCCGGAGGCAGATGCTGCCCTGGGTGGACAACATGGCCTCCCGCATGGTCTACTACTACTCCAGCAGCAGCTACGTGAGGCGGCGGGCGGCGGCGGCGGGCGGGTCGCGGCTGCGCCTCCGGCCCTGCGGCCGCAGCTGACCGCGGCCCCCTGCGCAGGACCACATCCTGAAGAGGAGCTTCTTGTCGGCGGCCGTTATGCTCATGAAGGCGCTCAAGAGGCCGAGCGCCAGCCAGGGCTACAAGTTCACGCAGACGGCGGAGCTGATCCAGTGCCTGCTGGTGCGCGGGCGGCCCTGGGGGCGGCGGGGCCGGGCCGGGCCGGCACCACTCGTGCCCTTTCTGTGTCCTCTCCGTGCCCTCTCCATGCCCCCTCTCCGTGCCCTCTCCATGCCCCCTCTCCGTGCCCCCTCTCCGTGCCCCCTCTCCGTGCCCCCTCTCCGTGCCCTCTCCATGCCCCCTCTCCGTGCCCCCTCTCCGTGCCCCCTCTCCGTGCCCTCTCCGTGCCCTCTCCGTGCCCTCTCCGTGCCCTCTCTGTGCCCTCTCCATGCCCCCTCTCCGTGCCCCCTCTCCGTGCCCTCTCCGTGCCCTCTCCGTGCCCCCTCTCCGTGCCCCCTCTCCGTGCCCTCTCCATGCCCTCTCCATGCCCTCTCCATGCCCTTTCCGTGCCCTCTCCATGCCCTCTCTTAATGCCCTCTCCGTGCCCTCTCCGTGCCCTCTCCGTGCCCTCTCTCCGTGCCCTCTCTTTATGCCCTCTCTCCGTGCCCTCATGCCCTCTCTGTGCCCTCTCCGTGCCCTCTCTCCCTGCCCTCCCAGTTCGCCCTGCAGAAGGAGCCCAACCGCCTGGTCACCCTCTTCCAGCAGAAGACCATACTGGTCATCGCCGGGCTCAGGTAAGGCCTGCTGTCCCAGGCGTGGGGAGGAGGTTAGCGTGGGGGGCGGTGGAGGATGTGGGTGAGGCCCGGGTGGGGTCTGCGCCAGGAGCTAAGCAGTGTGGGGGCTGAGGCCAAAGCATCTTCCCCAGGACCAGCTGCCCTTGCTGCTGTCCAAAACACATTGGCAACCGTGCACAGGCTGCCCTGCTCACACTGGGCCCTGACCCTGCTCACACTGACCCTGACCCTGGTCACACTGACCCTGACCCTGGTCCCACTGACCCTGACCCTGGTCACACTGACCCTGACCCTGGTCACACCTGGGCCCTGACCTGCTCACACCTGGGCCCTGACCCTGCTCACACCTGGGCCCTGACCCTGCTCGCACCTGGGCCCTGACCCTGGTCACACCTGGGCCCTGACCCTGGTCACACCTGGGCCCTGACCCTGCTCACACCTGGGCCCTGACCTGCTCACACTGGGCCCTGACCCTGGTCACACCTGGGCCCTGACCTGGTCACACCTGGGCCCTGACCTGCTCACACCTGGGCCCTGACCCTGCTCACACTGGGCCCTGACCCTGGTCACACCTGGGCCCTGACCCTGGTCACACCTGGGCCCTGACCTGCTCACACCTGGGCCCTGACCTGCTCACACCTGGGCCCTGACCCTGGTCACACCTGGGCCCTGACCCTGGTCACACCTGGGCCCTGACCTGCTCACACCTGGGCCCTGACCCTGCTCACACTGGGCCCTGACCCTGGTCACACCTGGGCCCTGACCCTGGTCACACCTGGGCCCTGACCTGCTCACACCTTTGCCCTGACCCTGGTCACACCTGGGCCCTGACCCTGGTCACACCTGGGCCCTGACCTGCTCACACCTGGGCCCTGACCTGCTCACACCTGGGCCCTGACCTGCTCACACTGGGCCCTGACCCTGGTCACACCTGGGCCCTGACCCTGGTCACACCTGGGCCCTGACCTGCTCACACCTGGGCCCTGACCTGCTCACACCTGGGCCCTGACCTGCTCACACCTGGGCCCTGCCTTTTTCCACATCCTGGACACTGGCTCAGTCACAGCACTAACACTGACCCCAGAACAATCCCTTTGTTTTCCCACAAAGAAATACCAACGAAGCCAAAACCGGTTTGGCTCAGTGGATAGAGCGTCAGTCTGCGGACTGAAAAGTCCCAGGTTCGATTCCGGTCAAGGGCTTGTACCTTGGTTACTGGCATATTCCTGGTGGTGGGTGTGCAGGAGGCAGCTGGTCGATGATTCTCTCTCATGGATGTTTCTGGCTTTCTATCCCTCTCCCTTTCTCTCTGTAAAAAAAATCAATAAAATATATTAAAAAAAAAAAAAAAAGAAAGAAAGAAAGAAATACCAACGAACCTGAGAGAAGTGAGTGAGCTTGACGGCCCGGCCCAGCACAGATGGGCCTCGGCACCCTCATCCCCACCCGCCCGCCCCAGGCCCCGCCCCACGCCCTGCCCCATCCCCAGGACAAGCCACCCCAGAGCCAGAGGCCTTGGTGCCCAGGCCCACACACACCGCACGCCCTGGAGCCCTCCCTGCCGGGACCTGCTGAGCCAGGCTCGCTCCGAGGACCCTCTGCTGTGTCTCTGCAGCAGCCTGCGGCCCAGCCTCACGCCCATGGTCAAGTCCACCATCCTGCAGACCTGCTTCCAGAGCCTGTACCAGCTGCCACCCATGGAGTCACTCAAGAGCCGCTCCCAGCTCCAGAAGCCTGACCCCAAGGTGACCGCCCGCCCGGGCCGGCCCAGCCCCCCGGGGTGGGCGCTGGGCGCTGGGCGCTGGGCGCTGGGCACTGGGTCAGGCCTGGCTGCGGATGCGCGCGAGGGGAGCAAGGCTGGGCTTTCTCCTGCGGCAGGAGGGGCGGGGCCTCCGGAGGGCTGTTCACCGGTCTGAGAAGCCCGTCCTCCGGGCCGGGGCCGCGGGGCTGGGTGGCTGAGGGTCGACCTGTGACCCGGAGGTCACGGTTCGAATCCCGATCGGGGCACAGGCCCGGGCTGTGGGCTCCATCCCCTGTGGGGGGGGGGGCGTGCAGGAGGCGGCCGGTCCGCGATCCTCTCTCCTCGCGGTGTTCCCCGCGCTCCCGCCCTCTCTGGCATGGATAAGAGCGTACTACAGGGAGGGGCCGGCCGCCCCGCCGGCTCGGCTGGGTGGGCGCCGGGCACCGGAGGGCGCGGCTTTGGCACGGGCCGTGTGCCGGCAGAGGCTGTACCAGATGACGGCCCAGGCGCTCAACCTGCTGCTGTACACCTTCATCTCGGAGAACAAGAGCATGGACGAGGTCTGCTTCCTCCTGCAGGTGTGCTCGGCCGCCCGGGGGACAGGCTGCCCTGGACCTGACCCCAGTGCCCGGGCCTCGCCCCCCCAAGGGCCCTGCGAGGAGCGGGGTGGCCCTCGGGGCAGGGAAGCCCCCCACAGCCTGGAGCGGCCCTCTCGGCCCCCCCACAGCTGGCACAGCCCAAGGCCCCCGAGGCAGACCCAGCGTCCCCCCGCCTCCCTCCTCCCTGCCCCGCGCTGCTTGTCTGCGGAGCCCACGCCCAGGGCGCTGTCCGTGTCTGGGGCGTCACCGGCCCCAGGCCCGGCCTCGCCTGCGGGTGGGGACGGCTGCCCGGTGGCCGGTGAGCCGCGGGCGGGGCCTGATGGCAGTGCGGCCCCTGCCCGCCCAGCACACGGAGCCCTGGCTGACCTCGGACCGGAGCCAGGAGCGTGAGCGGGCGGTGCAGACCATCTTCCTGCTCCTGAAGAGCGTGATGGACCGCGTGAAGCTCACGGTGAGGGGGGGGGGGGGGGGGGGGGGTGGGCGCGTGTCTGACGGCGTGTCTGACGGCGTGTCTGACGGCGTGTCTGACACCGTGTGTCCGAAGGGCGTGTGGGCGCCGCCGTCCGAGGGGCCCGTAGAGCCGCGCAGGCTGGGCCGGCGTCTACAGAGCTATGGGAACGGCCGCGCTCAGCACGCCGTCTCCGGGCCGCTGAGGGGAAGCCAGGCCGGGCGTCCCGCGGGCCGGCGAGGGCTCCTGGCCGCCCGTCCACCGGGGCCGGGAGGTCACAGCTCAGTTCCCGTCGGGGCGCAGGCCCGGGTGCGGGCTTGGTCCCCGGTTTGTGGGGCATGCGGGAGGCAGCCGTCCATGGTTCTCTCTCCTCATTGATGTTCCCCTCTCTCTCTCTCTCTCTCTCTCTCTCTCTCTCTCTCTCTCTCTCTCTCTCTCTCTCCTCGCCTTTCCTCTCTGACATCACTACAAAAATATATTTAAAAAGATCTAATGGCTGAAATTTCCAAATTGCCAAAAACCCGTAAGCCCGTTCCTCCCAGAGCACGGGCCAGCCCAGAGCGACCGGGCGGGAGCAGCCGGTGCCCGACTGCAGACACTGAGCACGGGGCGGGCGGGGAGAGTGGAACAGTTGGGAGGGCCCCGGCCGGTGTGGCTCAGTGGATAGAGCATCGGCCTGCGGACTCAAGGGTCCCAGGTTCGATCCTGGTCAAGGGCGTG